GTGTGATTAATTACAGATGCTGCCTCTTTTAGCTAACAACAACCTAACGTTTAGTTTTCTCTTTCCCGAACAGATAAGCGCTTACCACTACGATTACTTTTATCAAAACAGTGTACTGTTTGTTCCACAAACGTACCGTTTTTTATTTTTTACCAGTTTTTTTCAATATATTTTTTCTTGTTAATTTTTTTTCTTGTTATGAAAAACTTCTAATACTGTGAACAACTAAATTAGACGTCGACCGAAATTGTACAATTAATGTTGTACTTGAATCATACTCTTTTTTTTTTCTGGTTTAGAAAAAAAACAGAAAATTGGTATAATTATTGTTAGCATTAAAAATATTTGTACAAATTTAAGTAAATTTTTGGTTCTAGGTTAGCCAGTTCTTTTTATATCATTTTTTTAAAACATTTTTAGCTGTTTAAATGCAGAACAAACTGATTTTTTTTTTTAGAATTAAAGAAATAGCTGTAATTATCAGTATGATACTCCTGTTAACTGTAATCGCCTTCTCTTCTTCCTACGTAAAACAATTAAGCAAATCGTTAAAAAAAATGAATAAATGTGAACGACATTATGTGTCTTTTCCGAATTGCTTATAAATGCAAACTTTAGTTTGTTGTCCGTTTCAAATTGATCATAAAAAACAGAAAAATAAATAAACAAAAGAAATAAAAGAAACATTAAAACTATTTCTCTCTTTTTTTCCTTTTTTTTGCCAAAGTTTCAAACAGCTATTTTTTTCTTTTGTTGCTGTCACTGTCGCAACAGTAAAATAGACATTAAATATTACGATCAGAATTGTAACAAACATCTACAACTACGACTTCTTTGGTGAAATCCCAAATAATTTCTTGATTCCTTTTTATTTGAATTGTTTACTGAGCAATAACTACTTTTTTTTGTTGCCAGTATACCTGACTTACTTGTGGCAGTCGAGTGTTCGTATCAACAAAGTAACATAAACTTTGATTAAGTCCCTAAGTAAATAACTCGAATACTATTGAAAATTAACTTTCAGCAGTATGCTGAAAACGAGAACATTAAAAATGTTAATTTTTGCATCTCTGTATAATCTAAAATCTCTCATGTGTAAAGACAAACGCTCTTTGAAAACAGTTTTATCAATTGTTATAATTATACGTTCATCCACAATGTATACAGTTAGATTAGACATAATCTGACTGATAAAACACTGAAAAAGTTATCATTGACTGTGCAAAATAAATTCCTGCTAACTGTTTCAATTATTTAAATATCAAAACAACAGATTCGTTGCACGTTTCAGGAAAACCACTCTTTATCTTGTCGAACACAACCATGCAGAGCAAATTCGCGAACGTCATGTTTATAGTAGTTGAAATGATCAAACGGTGAAATGTTTAACAGTTCGCCTTCGCTGCAACGTTTACTTTCTGATTTTGTACAAAACCTGTATTCATCACCTTTGTCCATGCTGTTGTTGTACCAGATCTGTAACAGTTAATATATTCTAACTGCACAAAAAATTCTAAAGATTGTGTTGCTATAACGAAAAAAAAGAGCAGCTATTAAAAACAATAAGCCTTTTAAGCGATTTATAACTTTCGTTTAGTGTAAGCAGCAAACGGTATCATACAACTGCTCTTGAAAAATACCACAGCGTGAAAATAATGCTTACTGACATCTTTTTGCCATTGCATTTCTCCATTAATATTCTAGGTAAGCAGCATGACATGATTGAAGTTTAAAAAATTAATTCATTGTTAGAGCCTGAATAGTTCAAAGTAAAAAAAACTGGAAAAAAATGCTTGCCTCATAATCATACTGATGGTATCCTAAAAAACTGGCTGGAAGATGAGGCACAAAGTCATTTTTGTGTATCACTCGATAAGTGTATTTCAACTATAATTCAGATAAGTTAAAGTGTTTCATCTCATTATAAATTTATAAGTCAATTACTACAGATTCTTCAGCGTAAAAAATACTTTTGTTGAAATTAGTCATGTTTTGCTTCAATTTTTTTCACTCTCAATTACAGAAATCGGTTTATACGTGGCTATTACGAAATTTTCAGCATAGCAACAACAAGTAGACAGGGTTATTTTCAGACAACTGTTTGATTAAGCCACAACTTAGTGCCATAATCGTATAAACCTCTGCTTTCATAAACCACTACGAACAACTTTGGCATATAGCAAAGAAAGAGTTTCGGTTAACATATTTCTATTCAAACCGACAAGTTTGTTATGTGACACAGCAAATGCCATGTCGCCTGTCCGAGGTTCTCCAAAGGTTACGGTGATGATCTGACAGTCGTCAAACAAACTATTTGCAGCAATTTCATGTGCCGCAATTGCCGACATTGATCCGCCAAGTGAATGACCAGTTAGCTGCAAAAGTACAAGAAGCCAAATTGGTTTTTTATCAGTCAAAACTATCACACTCCACAATTTTAATAATTTCTTAGCTTCACATAAAGCAACAAATAGTGATGGCTCAAAAATAATAAGATTTTTGAAATACCCCACCCAAATCTCGTAATCTTCGTACTTCTTCCGCAACTTTATCAAGTCTCTATACATACCAGCTGTCCAAACTGCATTAAAAGCATCGTGGAAATACCTTCCCACCTGGAGCAACAATTTTAAAATTAAATATCGAACTAATATTCAGTTGAATAATTTAAAGTTTCAGCTAATCACACAATTAACGCAATAAATTACAAATGAACGTAGAATGAACAAAAAAGAGCTAACTTTTCCTCCTCCAAGCAGAGAAACTTTCTTTTCAAAAATCGCTTGAAAGTCTTTCATTATAAATTGTATCAGATGATCAGCACCGCTGAAAAGCTACCTCCTCCTTGTTTCCCTTATTTCAACCAACAAATATGATTTGCAATAACCGCATTTACCATTAAATTTTTAAAGTTATGGTGTAACTGATGAGCATTTTTACGCTGATTGTGGCAAATTTTAATAAATTTTGATAAAGAACTAAGCCACAATTAAAATGCGATCACCGAAAGCCGAGAATAATAGCTTTATGGAAATCGGAAAGAGCAGAATATCCATAACAGTAGTCTAACCCAGTAAATGGTAATGGCCCGCATTCGGCCTTATATTTTCTAAATACCTGAAAGACAATCAGTAAAAATTAACAACACCAGTAACGTTTATTGTCGCTTTTTCAATAGTTACTCTACAAAATACTTACAACAATTATCTTACAATTTTCTACATAATAAGTAGACATTTTTTTTAAAGAGATTACATATGCTCCACGAAGTCTATTGCGTAAGCATATTTCTGGATTATCAGCATACGCAGCTACTGCAGCTACATACATAACATCTCGTGCAAAAGTGTCATTGATATACTGTTGAGCATCTGCAGCAATTAAACAAACTATTTATATTCAGCAAAAAAAGAAAAATTTGAAAAATTAAATTTGAAAAAGTAGTATACTGAACATCATTAAGTAGATGGTAGAAAAACTTTTCAACTTGCACGGAAACCATATGTAGGTCAACCTTTTAACACCGGGTTAACTTCAGCAGCGACAGTTTTGCCAGTAAAAAAAACAAAACCAACGATAACCAAAAACATTTAGAACTGTTTCGCAACCGATATCATGTATTTTTGTTTGCAACGAAACATTTCGGTGGAGTCACACTATGGGATATTTTTTTCCTTCACCAAATATATAACAATCCACCCATCAACAAACAAATGTCGATTGTTTGGTGTATTTGTGTGAAGGAAATGCGGGTTATCTGGTGGCCGATTGAAAAAACAACAGCAAAAACGCCTTTTGGCTGTTAGCAAAGAAATAGTTATAAGCTAAAAACAGAGCAACGTTTTCTTCTTTTCTTCTAAGTTATTGCATAAAAATATTTGTAAAATACATTTGTTTTTAAAAATCTGTCGCTCTCATACACTATGTTTAATTTTACTGCATCTAAAAGAGGTAACAAAATCTTGGCAAAAGAAATACTGAACGTGGTCCGTTTGAACAATTTTTTTATGCACGGTAAGTACGCAAATTTTTATCGTTTACATTACATTATCTGCAGATTATTTTGTCAGATTTGTTTCTTACCTTTTTCGAAGAAAGTTGCTGACGTTTTTGGGATAACACTCATATTTCGCAAGAAGTAATAGAAAAGGAGAGCTGCTTAGACAGGTTTAAAAGTAAAAAAAGAAAAGGAAGGATGTCAAAGGTTATAATTCTAAAAGCTGGAAAGAAATATGTTTCAAAGAAGCAGTTACCATTTGGACCAAAATCAATCAAAAAAATACTTCAGCTTCTGGTTGTTTAAACTTCCTGAATCATAATGCTTGTTACAGTACCCAATTATAACCTTTTTTACTAGCACCAGTTTTTTGTTTAATATAAAGTCCTATCATTTAATTGCGAAATAAGACTGTGTCAGTTTAGTTTCCTAGCAGGTAATGATGTTTTATTTACACATTTATAAGCCATTTTTTTTAAAAAGACAAGGGTTTCATTTTAAAAAGTAATCCTCTGACAGGTTCATGTCCCTGTTACGTCATTCATTTAATTCCAACTATTGCTCTCTGTTGTTTTCTTTATTTCTCTCCAGTACAACAAAATCAGTCGCTTTTAATTTCGAATTTCCAAAATTATTTTACAGACTTTTGCATGTTTAATAGGACAGGTCAAGAAAACTGACTTTTCTAAAGGTAACCAGAACAAACTTTGTCAGCTATGGCGCTTACGCTAGGCTTTTCATGAAGGAAAAGCTCTCTGTCACTTCAAAATTAAGTCGGGGCGGCCTTTCGTTTTCCAGTGCGGTAGCGGTAAATTCAATACATTGAATTTTTGTGCTGCTTTAACGACTGTACAACTCTGTCAACCTCAAATAATTTGCACTAAGTGCTTGCGCTGCCTATATTTTAATATTCTTCGTTAAGTAGTAAACACAGACTTCTCCGCATATTTTTCCTAAAAACTTATCTCTGGAAGATAGAATTGGAAAGTAGACAATATACCGTTTTCAAAGAATCAGCGACGATATTTGCTTATTTGTTATTGTTTGCTGAGATGGAACAACTATTTCTGTTTGCTAAAAATAAAAAATATGTATAAAAAAGAAAAAAGGATAGAATGATATCTTAAAGATGGAAAAAAAAGAGTCAGCCGCGGGAAACGGAACAATTATTCATCAGCTAAAAGAAAACACTGGGACTTCCTGGCAAAATCGTTCAAAATTTTTTCTTTTATTTTTTTGCTAGCAAAAAAGAGAATTTGCTTGTTTATTCAAACAAAAAATGCTTATCTATTTTAGAGGTTACGAGAGTGAAAAAAAAAGCAAAGCTATTTTTTGTTGATCCTTTCATAATTTTTTTTTGTAAATGTTGCCTAAAAATTTCATTTTTTTATATGTTCTTGCTTCAGCTTTTTCTTTTATATTCAAATACGAATGAGAAGTTAAAAAACGACTAGATGACATTGTAAAAAAAAAAACAGCGAAAAAAAAACAAACCATGGGAACCTTATTTTTTTTTCCACAGTCATATGTACAAAAAGGTCTCATGAAATGATGAAGAGTTTTAGTTAACGTTTCATCAGTTGGACATCGCTGCCACATGCATTTTTCTTTTCGTTTGATTCCTTACTAAAGCAAAAAAATTTGAAATAAGAAGTTCTTCTAGTTTATAAATTCATTATTGAGTTACTTGATTAGTGCTGCATAATATATCTATCAAGAACGAATATTAACAAAAGTTTCTTTCTTCAAGAAAATAAAAAAAGTTTTAGTGAAAAACCGAAATGCGATTTTCCAGCACGACGTAATTGATGCATATAACCAATTGCAGTCATCATTGTGGCAACTAGCGACAGTTATCTTCCGTAGGGAAACATTTTTTTTGCTATTACTAACATTTTTATATTTTACAGCATAATATACTGAACTGGCCATAATGAAAATGATTATATCAACATTAATGTTAGCTATGTTGTTCGCTAATGCTTATTGTCGATACATGACATTCGGTGGCGGCGCACAAGACACGGTTGCTGATGGGCAAGTCATTAAAACACTTTTGCGCAAAACCCCTACCATTATTTTTTGTTTCTAATTTTTGAACTGTATATTCGGTTGTATTAAAGTCATGTAATTGAACAATAGTCGGCTTAAAGTTTTTAGTAATTGAACTTTTTCTAACTAGGATAATCAATTGTAGTTTTGATATTGGACCCTGGAAACAGAGAACCGCAGTTGAAAAGTGGTTGGAAAAAATGGGAAGCCACTATTTTTACAGCGATCCAAGACTTACTGGTATGTTAATGCCAAACTACGGTTTCTACGCACAACACAGATAAAATTTCAAAAGCATATCGAAGAAATTGGGCAAACAGATATTTTATGTTTCTCACTTATGCTCCTCAAATTTCGTACCTATATCAATAAAAGCGCTCTCTTTCTCTATCAACTCATCAGCGTTTAAGTAATCATTCAAAAGAATATGTCTCTGTATTAGTTATAAAACTCAAATTCACTACTCTGTTTCGTCCTGTAACAGTGAAAAATTGCTATTGTTACACGTTCCAAGGCAAGATTGTAAATATGCTACTGACTTCAAGAACGATTTATGTGCTGTTTCTGAAACGTAAAATTAAATCTCTAAATGAGGTCATTTAAGAACAAAAACTAGTTCTTTGGAGAAAAACTGCTTTCTGAATAACTGTTGAATAACTGTCAAAAATACTTTTAGCTTAATATGCAGTGGAAGTATTGCATTTGTTTTGAACTGAAAATAGTACGCTCCTTGTCATATAGGCAGAAACTCAACAGGTGAAAAAAAGAGGAAACAATTTCCAACATTTAACACTCAAACCAGGTTCTACAGTAGTTTTGTCAGTCGAAAAAACGAAAAAAAACCGCTGTTTTAACTGATTATCTGCTGATAATTTTAAAAATTAGAACAAAAATTCACTCTCAGGACCTCTTTAAATCTTGAGAAAAAATTATTAACAAGAAAAGTAATGAAACTAATATCAATAATCCATAAAAACGTCAGCTACCAACCGATGATTAAACCTTTAACGTACGCATCTCGCGCTCTGCAAACTTGACAGCTATTATTGTAATCAATTAATAATGCTCTAAGAGTTTTCACAAAAGGTTATAAATGTTAAGAACCGTTTTAAAACTCATTACAATGACTGGTCCTCTACCGTTTGGTGCAAAGGTTACAGGTTTTCAAAGTGATTTCACAACCAAGTAACACACTTAATTTCAACATGGCTATTTTTTACTTCCAGTTTTTTCCCTTTTTTCAGATTTAAAGGTTGTTATGCGAATTAATTGAACTATTACATCGAGCATGAAAACGGTGTTTTCAAGTCTTTTTAGCACACACATATTTCGTCACAAAGCATTCGTAGATGAGCAGCAAAAGGCCGTAGTATTGAAATAAAAAAAAATCTTCATTTCTAGCGTGGGGTTTTCAAAAGTTAGAAGAATCACACAACAGTATATTTTATGATCCGTGTAAAATTGATCTTTATTATTCGTTAAATTTATATGTGAGATGATATTATTACGGCTTATCACTCAATAGCTTGTCAGAATCTGAAATACACTTTATATTTACTTCAGAAACTAACCTACGAGCTGCCGTGACTATAGCTTTTTTGAAAACAGTTAAATAAAAGAGGAAATAGATTGAGAAATAATTAAGTGTGCAAATCTCACGCTTCTTTTGGCATACTGAGGATTCATACTACACTCGTCTAGTAAAACTGATCACCTTTACTCCCTCAGCATCAAATAATTAATTGCATAAGTCAATAATTGAATTGAAAAATAACTTGTCATTTTGAAATTACTGCATCTTTAGTAATATTTTTGGGTGTTAACTGTTTCTATAGACAAGAAGAAGCAGTGCCGTAATAAAAGAAAATACATGAAACAAACTCGGTACAAGGTTAACTTGAATTTTTCTACAGTATTTAGCTGTTGGTTAATGACCAAGAGATCACCAAAAAAACATATAAAAAAATAATTCTTATAAATTTACATATATTTCAGGAATGCAAACAGATTAAACTTTTGCCTAGAAACTGTTGATATTTGTAATCAACAATAAAAATCACTATATAAACAAAAAGAACTGAGGCAAAGAATGCTAATTCGCTTTTCACTAATAGGTAAGTGATATTTCTTAGAGTATTCAAAGCTAAGAATTTTAGCAAAATAAGTAAGAGTCTTATTTCAAACTCTAAAGTAACATAACACAGGTGCTCGACCGACTTGAAGTTTATGTTATATAAGTAACTTTGAATGTACCATGACTTTCATACTGAACAGCTAATGACATTCTTATTTAAAAAGCTAGTGACTTCCTAATTTATCATCGCGAGTTGCATAACTGTTGTATCGTAGTGGTCATATTGCTCTGTCTATAGTACCTCAAGAATTTTTCTAGATCAGACGCTATAAATGAATGTTCTGAGATCAGCTCAAGTGGAATTGCGCTCCCATGTTGTGGCCCAACCAGCAGAAGGGTCTGATCTAACGATCGATTATATTAATTCGTGGTCATCAAAGTTCCAATTTTTTGTTAGTATTTCACTGGTAGATGAGAACCATAAAAGATTCTACTTTATTGAACATATTCACCAAAAAAATAGATTAGAACAAAAACTGTTCAGCATTATTCATCAATGTTTAGTTAGCCAGGTTATTGTGGTAATTTTTGTTTATTTGTCTTTTGGGCTTCTTTATCTTCTAATTACAGTGTCAAACGCCCGCCGAAGAAGATGTTTTCAAGTAGTCAACTGTATTTATTTGTTCTACTAAAGCAATTTTTTCGTGGTTTTAAATTTTTTGTAACTGTTTTACACAAATTTTGTGTAATGAAATTTCTTTCAGTAAAAAATTATAAAGACTATAAAAAAGATGTACTTTTGAAAACTTTTAATTATTTTAAAACAGTAATACTGGAAATAACATAGCATAATACATAATAACATAATACTGGAAATAACAACAGTTTATGTACTTATTTTTTGTTGTTGCTTTTAATGCAACAAAAGAGAAAATTTGCAAAAAGATTTGCACAAAAAATAATTGTTTTTTTTTTTCCAAATTTTATCAATTTTATTTCTGCACAACTTTCAAAGAACAATACTTTCACTCTTCTACAACTGTTCATTTCATCCTACATTGACTTCCGAAACCGCTTTCAAGCTTGTTGCACAGTTCATAAGAAAATTTATTTTATAAGTGCCAAAAGAATTTTTTTTAAAATGTGTTTGCTTAAGTGGTTATCGGTATGAAAATAACTGCTTCACCACCAACAAATTACAGTGATGTTTTCAACGCAATCTAAGGTTAAAAAATTCTTTCTGACAAAGCATTGTTGGAGTGGGAAGCAGACGAAAATGACCTGAAACACTTAACCGATATTGCAAATTCCATTAATCTGTTGAAAAATGATTTTATTTTTCCGCCTGTTGCTTCCTCGTT